CCCACCAACATGTGGACCCTGATGCAGTCACACATGAGGTAGTTCCACCACTACTTCCAGCTTCTACTAAAGCAAAAAAAAAATTGTCTTAAAGGACCACTATAGTGCCAGGAAAACATACCCACCCGGCTCTGGAAGGGGGAAAAGGGATAAAAACTTACCTTTTTCCAGTGCTGGGCGGGGAGCTCTCCTTCTCTGATCCTCCTTCCCTCCTCCCCGTCGGCTGAATGCGCATGCGCGGCAAGAGCTGCGCGCGCATTCAGCCGGTTGCACAGGAAAGCATTATCAATGCTTTCCTATGGACGCTGGCGTGCTCTCACTGTGAAAATCACAGTGAGAAGCACGCAAGCACCTCTAGCGGCTGTCAATGAGACAGCCGCTAGAGGGAATGGGGGAAGGCTTAACCCATTCATAAACATAGCAGTTTCTCTGAAACTGCTATGTTTATAAAATAATGGGTTAAGCCTAGCTGGACCAGGCACCCAGACCACTTCATTAAGCTGAAGTGGTCTGGGTGCCTAGAGTGGTCCTTTAAGCAACTGCAAAGCGCATTACCTCTTTATGTAAATCATTTCATACTGAAATGGTTCACATACAGACTCCAAGCACCACAACAACTTTAAATAACTGATCTGTTTGGAGTAGCTCTTACAAGTATGTTGAAATACCTGCATGGACATACTATTTTTGGAAATAGACTGGCAAAAGGCTTGAAAATCCCTTTTATTTCTCATGAAATGGGCAGATTTATTCTGCTTTCTGATAAAATAAGAATTTTCTTATCACATTATGCCCAGGAATATCCCCATGAAGAGAAAAATGGATATAATTGAGTGCAAATTAAAATAACAATGAACATTTTTACTAAAAATAATTAAAGAACGTGATAAAGACTTTTCCTAATCCTGCACAGGACTGTTTATGAAAACCCCTTCTCTTTTTCTGTGTGCTTAATAGGTTTAATTTAATATAGATAATAGTATAATATTTTTTGCATAAGCCACAGGCATGAAAGGAATTAAATGCTGCTAAAATAATTATGGACTTGCTCTCCATACTCATAATCCATTCTCAGTTACTCTTTATCTACACATTTTAGGGACTGATGTAGACAGACAGACAGACCGACAGAAAAATAGATAGATGGATGGATGGATGGATAGATAGATAAATAGATGGATGGATGGATGGATGGATGGATAGATAGATAGATAAATAGATAGATGGGTAGGTAGATAGAAATAGATAGATGGATAGATAGAGCAAGAGAGATAGATAGATAGCTAGATAGATAGCTAGATAGATGTCATGATATATACTTACATCATTGCTTAAAAAATCAGTTTGTGTGGATTTATTTTGCCTGGAAATATTAGATGATTGATATCTTCTAGTCTTGGCCTGCATGAGAAGCAAAAATGCAAGGTTAGAAAGATCATGTTTTAGTCAAAGGCACAACTGTCTCCAAATAATATTTTCTGTAAAACACATGCAGGAAAGTCAATGTTCTGAATGTCAGACTATAAAACAAAACAAGAGAACAGATAGCTCTGTTAGTTTAACACCTCTATTCCCATTTGATTATGCATTGCCAGCTGTTAATCTTTGGAGTACCTGTGATGGAATTATGAAAGCTAAAGGTGAATATTTGTATATGTATATTAGCATGCCTATGGATCTGTACACCTGCATCCATTCACGGTTTGTAACAGTCAGTAGTCTCGAACAAGGAAAATGTGTCAAAACGGCTCTGTTTTTTTATGCAACAGCAATCCTCGGAAAATTATTTGACAATGCAAAAAGGTGAAAAGAACAAAAGCTGCAAACTGTACTTCACTTAAAGCCCCTTTCTTTGTTCCAGTAAATTAAATTTGACAGTTGAATACATAGGCTGCTAGCTTTTTAAAAACACATAGAGAGATAAATGTATAATATTAGTGCACCCTAAATATGTAAATAGAATAATGTATTTTAGTTCCCAAAATCAATAAAAAAAAAAAAAAGTTACCTCCAAAATAAATGCCAATAAATACTGCATTTATAATTTGGTCTTCATGCTTACAGCACTCACATGTCCATACAAAGATGCATTGGTTTTATTTTATATATTTAATGTACTATGTGATAATGTAGAGAGTAAACAATGTGCACCTGGAGAGCATTTCTTTTTTTTAAATTAAAAAGCATATTTGCAAAGAAAGGAAAAAATTCTCACCCCTCTTGGGTGGTATGTTTATTCCTCATTCTCAGGTCCTCTACCAGAGGCCTAGGAGTTTGAGGGTTTTGCAACTGAAACTCAAAAGCAAATATATATATATATATATATATATATATATATACCAAACTGTCCAAGTATGGGCTGCACTCAGGGTCTTAGTAAACGAATACTCTTTATTCCATCAAAAAAGGTTGAGGGGAGAGGAAATGGGACACGTGAATGGGCTGTGGGGGAGGAAGGTGTGGGACACATGGAGGGGCTGTGGGGGGAGAGGGAATGGGACACATGGAGGGGTTGTGGGGCAGAGGAAATGAGACACATGGGGGGGCCTGGGCGCGGCAATGAGACACCGGGAGGGAATGAGGCACCGTGGGGGAGTGAATGAGACACGGGGGGCAGAGTGAATGAGACATGGGGGGGATGAGTCACATGGGAGGGGGGCCTCAGGGCAATTTTTATACCGGGGCCCGGTGGATTCTAATTACGCCTCTGCCAACATCAATATTATAAATTAGTACATAAAACACAATGAAAGGTTCTTTAAACATGGCTACTTTTTCTACATTGCACTAGAAGAAGCAATTAAACACAACTTAGGTGTTTTACTACATCAGCAGAGAAAAAAGTAAATTTTTAACATACAAAAGAAAAGTTCTTAAAATATGAAATTGGTAAAACAAAACCTCTTTAAATGTGATTTATAAAAAACTAAATGATGTCCCCATGTGTCTACTTTTGCAAATGGTGGGCTTTCATTATTATTTGAACTTATGAGCTGCTAATGGGTGCCAAAATTGTACAGTAAATCAAGTAAAAAAACAAACAAACCTGAAGTAGGCAGATCTCTAAATTGGCCATGTAACTTAATTCAAATCTCACAAATGCATTTAATTAAGCACATATGAATTAGCACAGACAAACTGCAATTTTGTGAAAAACATACTACAAATTTCAGTTTCATAGTAAAAAGTCCATCAAGTTCAACTGTACCCATTCTTTCATGTTGTTGATCCAAAAGAAGGAAAAACAAACAATAAAAACAACAATTGCAGCCATATCCAATTATGCCACAAAAAGGAAAAAACTCCATAATGTCAGTTAGATCTCTCCTCGGATCAACAACTTATTTACATACACATCAATTATACCCTAAATATTCAGTTTATGCAAAAAAAAAGCATCAAAAACATGTTTTAGATTTACCTATAAAATCTGATAACACAACCTATTTAGGCAGAGGTTAAACTATTGTTCTTACTGTAAAGAACCATTTCCAGTGCTGCAGTAACAATACCAAGACCTCTTGTCTATTGTATACTTCTGTTAATGAACAGGTTACCACATAAAAATTTGTACTGACCCCATATATATTTGTAAAGTGCTATCATATCCCCTCGAAGATTACTTTTTTTCTAAAGAAAACAATTCAACTTTTTCTAGTCTTTGTTTTTTTTTTAGTTTTTTTTAAAGGACCACTATAGGCACCCAGACCACTTCAGCTTAATGAAGTGGTCTGGGTGCCTGGTCCAGCTAGGGTTAACCCTTTTTTCTATAAACATAGCAGTTTCAGAGAAACTGCTATGTTTATATTAGGGTTAATCCAGCCTCTAGTGGCTCTTTCATTGACAGCCGTTAGAGGCGCTTGCGTGCTTCTCACTGTGATTTTCACAGTGAGAAGTGGCCAGCGTCCATAGGAAATCATTGTGAATGCTTTCCTATGAGACTGGCTGATTGTGCGCGCGGCTCTTGCCGCGCATGCGCATTCAGCCGAGGAGGCGGAGAGGAGGAGGAGAGCTCCCCGCCCGGCGCTGGAGAAAGAGGTAAGTTTAACCCCTTCCTCACCCTAGAGCCTGGCAGGAGGAGGACCCTGAGGGTGGGGACACCCTCAGGGCACTATAGTGCCAGGAAAACAAATATGTTTTCCTGACACTATAGTGGTCCTTTAAGCTCGCCTATGTACTTTTTCTAGTTCTGCAATATCCTTCTTTAAAACTAGTGCCCAAAATTGCCCTACATCTTCAAGGTGGTGACTTACCACTGATTTGTAAAGAGACACAATTATATTTGAATCATGGATATCAAAACCCCTTTTTGATACACAAATGCACAATACTAGCTATTGCATCAGTAGACCAGCATTGCATACTGTTGCCTAGTTTGTGATATATAATTGTTCCCAAGTCCTTTTCATTTAATGTTATCCCTAACTCTACCTCATTTACTGTATAAATGGCTTGTGAGAGCCTTATTCCAAAATGTATGACTTTGCATTTTTGTCAATTGTACAGCATCAAAACAGCAGCAGATTGCTAATCCCAATGGAGGTTACCCCAGGAAATATTATTAGCGAATATATTTACCATACCCAAACCAGGTAAACTGTTATCATTGCAAAAATTTCCACACCATATAACGCTTACAGCATGTTTACTTTAGAAGTCCTGATCTTTTCCAACATTGTTACCTAGGCTAAAAAAAGACGAGTTCATCACGTTTAGCCTTTCTGACATCTGTTTCTGCTGTTGATCCAATAGAGGGCAAAAAACACCAAAAACCATTTGAAGCTCTTTCCAGTTTTGGAACAAACTGGGACAAAAAAACCTTCTCAACCTCAAACTAGGATCTTTCCTTGGATCATGAAGTTGTTAAATCATATAATAAAAAATTATATCTCTCAGTAGTGATGTCCCGAACGGTTCGCCGAACGGTTCGCCGAACGGTTCGCGAACGATTCGCCACGGACTCATCATTGAGTAAACTTTGACCCTGTACCTCACAGTCAGCAGACACATTCCAGCCAATCAGCAGCAGACCCTCCCTCCCAGACCCTCCCACCTCCTGGACAGCTCACTAAGAATACAGCTTCACAATGAATGTAAAATGGATGCTGTCCAGGAGGTGGGAGGGTCTGGGAGGGAGGGTCTGCTGCTGATTGGCTGGAATGTGTTGCTAACTGTGAGATACAGGGTCAAAGTTTACTCAATGATGAGTCCGTGGCGAACCGTTCATGGCGAACCGTTCGGCGAACCGTTCGGGACATCACTATCCCTCAGTATTATGCTTTTGCAAGACTTCATCTAGTAGCAGTGTTTTAAAATTCTATACAGACTCTGCTAAAACCACCTCTTCCAGAGAATTATTCTTACTGTAAAGAACCCTTTCCTCTGCCTTAGACTAAATCTTTTTACTTTGAGTCTAAATGGGTGACCCCATGTCCTATGAATTGTCCTATTTCTGAATAGAATTCCAGTCAATGGTTTGTATTGTTATGAATTTATTTGTATCATGCAAAAATATCACTGTTTTTCTAAACAAAACAGATTTAAACAGATTTAAATTTGTTTGCCTATCTTCATAATTAATATTTTCCACCCCCTTATTAATTTTGTAGTCTGCCTCTGCACTTTTCTAGTGCTATATATCATTCTTTAGAACAGGAGCCCAAAATTAGCAACTTTATATTTTCATCATGAGAATTAATGACCCTTTTTTTGCATGATTTCTACCTTACAAGCCATAGCAACCACTGATTGACACAGGACATTGTTGCCTAGTTAGTTGTCTATAACAATTCCCAAATCCTTCTCATGATTTATTTATATTAACTCACTACCATTTAGGTGTAAGTTGCTTGTGCATTCGTCACCCTGAAGTGCATAGATTTAATCTGCCATTTAAGTGCATAGTCCACTAATCTGTTTAAATCCCTCTGCAGTGAAATATTATCCTGCTCACATTGTATTACCTTTCCTAATTGTGTGTCATCTGCAAACACTGATACGTGAATTCTAATGCCTTTTTCAAGATAATTTATAAATAGGTTAAATAGAAGAGGTACCAGAACAAACTCCTGAGGGACACCACTTACCATGTTTGTCCAGTTATGCAATTTACCATTAATGACAACTCTTTGCACTCTATCACTCTCTAACAAGAATTTTAATCTAGACCTGTTTTTTTTATTTGAACATTTACCTATTGTGTGGAATTGCATTCAAAACTTTTGCAAACTCCATGTAGATCACATCCATGCAAACACCTTGATCTATACTTCTACGTACTTCTTCATAGAATGCAAGTAAATTAGTTTGACATGACTGATGATGATATCTGCTTGCATTGTTATTCCCAATACATTTCTGAATATTATCCCTTAATAACACTTCAGATACTGTCCCCAGCCATAGAAGTTAAGTTTACTGGTCTTTAATTTCTAGGCATACATTTTGAACCCTTTTTAAATTTAAAAACATCTGCGTTTCTGCAACCCTCCAGTATGATTCTTGAAATAAAATAAACCTGAATGACTAGAAAAAAGAGGATCAGTTATTTACACACTTATCTCCCTTAGTGTGTACATGCTATAGTAAGTGGGTGAATACTATACGGCCCTGGGGCTTTGTTTAGATTAACTTTCTATTGTTGGTGCAGCACCAACTTCCTACTTGATATAAACTAAAGAAAAATAATTATTTAAAATCTATGCTTTTTGTTACTGATCTTCATTTATTAACACACACATCATCACTTTTGGGAGTTGGTCTAGCTCTCTTTGGCTAGCACTTTTACAAGCATTTTGGCTTAATTATATTTTATATACAATGCCTCTGATTTATCGGCTATAAATGCCCTTTGCTTATTATTATTTTTTTTAGTTCTTGTATTGAGTCACATGAGTTTTAATTTGTTTTGTTTTATATATTTATTAACCAATGGTACATACTGAAAATTGTACATTTCTAGTATTTGTTTTAAGATATTCTATTTATCCTCAGTGTTTTGCTTTTCACTAAAGTGTCTATGCCAGACAATGTATTGTAAAGATGCCCTTATCGTATCGAAACTGGCCTTTTTTTAAAATCATATAGTTTAGCATTACCCACATGCATTTGCTTTTTTATAGTTTATTTAAAAAAAACCCACCAAATTCAAAACACATTTTGAAATGCATAACTACTAAAATGTGTTAACAATATGGATTACAAAAAGTCATTTCTGGAATAGTTCAGATATCTGATGGTCTTATTGTAAAGAAAAATACAAATAACATGATAATGTTTTCCTATAAAAAAGGTAAATGATATACTAAAGTTGTGCTAAAGCCATAACATGTTCTACATTGTGAATTGAAGTTTTAATGCTGAATTAATCTGAGAAAGAGCAGTGTTTGCATTTCTTTTAAACACCGCATCTATTGACTGTCACTCAGACTCACTCAATCTCTACAGGACTGGTATTTGACGTCTTCGCATTCAGCAGGAAGTCACCAATCTCTAGCCATAGAGATACATTAAGTCAATGCATCTCTTTGAAGAAATGCTGATTGACGCAGCGCAGTATTCATGCACATTTAACAGCATGCATGCGTACTCAAAAAACATCTACTTTAATTTAAAAAAGGGGGTCTTCAATCTAAATAATTAATATAGCACTCTAAAGTTACATGTTTGTGTTCCTAATGTTAGAGTGTTCCTTTTAACTAGAATTTGGAATTTCATTTTATTTAAAGCGAAAAAAATCAGAAGATAAAAATGGTAAGCACATTCAGAAAAAAAGACAGGCCTCCTTGAAAACATTGAACAAGTAACAAAAAATCTCAAACCAAAGTACTTCTACAAAGTATTTTTATATTTTTCTTTCTTTCACATTGAGCTAGACAGCGGTTTCCGACCAATCCTCAAAACACACCAGCAAATCTGTTTCTACTGGGATAGTGACAAAATCTAGATCACTTGTTTGCGTTGGGGACTGTTTTTAATAAAACCTTACACACCAACAGTTTGTGCCGTCATAATAATTTTTAAATATATTCCAGAATTAGTGTGGAATTAGAGTGTGATGAAGATTTTTGTGTATAATAGTCAAATTACATTAATTTGAATTCATGATGAGCCCTAAAATATATTGCTAAAGAATAGAGAAACTCTGATACAGCATACATACTATTGAGGATAGAACGCTATATATGTATTCAGTTTAATATTTTACCATAAGCTTCTCCAATTATCTAATATTTCTGGCTCATTTATAATCATTTATCTACATAAGTCACGGTTAAAGTCTATGGGGAATGTTAGTAGATAAATCATTTGAAAAATGTATCGAAATTATTTATTTCAAATTAGCAAAATATAAAAAATATATATCATACACAAAATATAACAGTATATCAAAATATATCAAAATATACAAATATCTTTTAAAATATTAAATCCTTTGAAAAGATGTGTGCGTGTATGTGCGCATATATAAATAGTTGTATTTACAATTGTTGCATGGATCAATAAATCCTGTATAATACACCTGTTCCATCCATGCCATAAAGATAATCATAAGCTAATGAAAGACATCACAAGTACTATTTTAATTTAACGAGTATGGTTATTTTATTAACGTATTAGCAAAAGACACTGCTTAAATTAAATGCTGCAAATTGTGCTATAAAAAAGGGGAGATTAGTTGAAACCTGTTGGCATTAACCATAAATTTGCAAAAACAAGATTTGTTGTTATTTATTTAACAATTAAATACAAAAGGGATAGTGAAAATTCATTTGGAATTCAAAGTGCATCAAAAATGAAATATTGGTGCCAGATTTTATTTGCCGCCATAATTTTCATTTGTCTGGGGTGATTTATGTTTGAGTACACATCATCATTGCGCCTTTTACAAAGACTAATAAAAATGTGGTGTCTATAAAAGCAGATGCAAGCTTCATTTCCCACAAAATATATGGGGGACACGGTTTTGTTAACTAATCACTTTGTTTATTTCTAATTACAAGACAAGAACAGTTTAGCTAATTAACTTTCAAATTAACTACTATTCAGCGTTTGTACAGCACTTTAGAATATGTTGGTGCATTATAACAGCAAATTCAATTACGTTTATTGCAGGCCTGCTGGTTTCAAGATATTTAACTCTTTCTTTGGCTTTTATTTTCAATGATGTGAGTCACGGGACACATTCTAACTTTGCGATAATAGCATTTTTAGTAGTCGAGTTTTTAGAATTACAAGCCTTCTTGGATGAAATTAGACCGGGACTGGGATTCCCATTTTTTTCATATCTATGGATCATATTGTCAAGACACTGTCTAAATGCTGCTCAGAAGCATTCCTAGGTAATATGGCAGAAATCATGCACTTCATCACAGAACGTCCAAAGTGGGTGGATCCTCCCTGTAATGAGGTGTATGATTTGTATTGTATGCAAACACAAATAACTTAAATTATATAAATAAAATAACAATAATAAAACAAGTCACTTAAATAGGCGCCAATTTTAAATTAATTTTAAACCTATATAAACTCTTACCAGCCAGGTTCAAATGTTTATTATCCATTGATAAAGCCTCATATTGGCGAAACGTGTTTGGATACTTTTTACTGTTTTATATACTGTCAATAATAAAGATTTTGGTTATTTTTATGTTTAAACCATCATCTTTTGTTTTTTATTACCTGGCCTTTTATATAGCATTTTTCCTTTCTTTTAAATAACACGTTTTATCCATTTTATTTTTTTCATTTTTTATTTTCTGGATACTATACTCCAAAGAATCCTAGGTGGGGATTATACCACCCACGCTGTTACATAGAGCAGTTAGCCTGCCCTATATATTGTGAGTATATTTTATTATTTTATTCATTCACCTAAATTTTATTGAGAGAACTATCGCTGTTTTATCTTCTCTCCGAGCTCCTGAGGTCCAAGTCAAGATCACTCACCTTATATCCCATAAGCGGGGATAATACCGCTGTACGCCAAATCAACTAGAGCTAGTTAAAGCTCTACCGAATGTGAGTGTATCTACTATATTTTATAATTTTATACTGCACCATTATTGTCTCTACTTTTATTTTTCAACTTGGTTACCTGCCACCACAAAGAAGAGGACACTTGCTGCATATCCTGAAAGCAGGGATAATACCGCTGTAAGCCATTCACAC